ATTCTGTTGAACTGAGTACTTCGCCACGATTTCTGACGACCCCAGCTACTCTGACCGAAGACGCTGAAAAGGGAACGTGCCAATGGATCTCTGTTCCGGAGTGGATGTATCCTCTGCTAAGGTAACAAGCCGTTGACGCCCTGAAGTGTACCGGAGGGCTGAGCTGGATGTCAGAGGAAGGGTGCCATTTTCTGGTTCAACACATAACTTTCATCCATCTAAACTTCCTCCTTAAATCTATTCCTTCTCTTTAAACTTCTCTATTTGCCAGTAAATCAAGCTAGATGCCTTCAGAGATGAATCATTCTCAATCAGTAATCTTCTGTTGTCTTGTCTAGTAAATTGTGCCAAGTTTATTAATCAGAAACAGATCAGCAAATCAATGTGTACATGTTTTGATGTTAAATTTTGATTTTGTTAAATAAATGACCGCATTTATTCTGATGGGTCAAAGATAAAATGGCGTCTCATGTCACTGATTAAACACTCCACTCTCATTGTTATCTTGGTCACATGGCAGAAATTTAACTCGAAAAAGAAAATAATCCGTTGTAATTAAACAATTAATATTCTTTGTGCTTGAACTAGCTTTCAGAATAATTAATTAGTAGTGAAGATAACCCTTACTTCACTACACATGTCACCATAGAGACAAACAAATCCAACTAAAATCACAGTTATTGCTTGAGGTTGTATAGATGTTTAGAAACACACAGTGATGTTTGAAGTGGAACGATACAAGAACATTAGGTATGTTTACATGGACATAAGTAACTGGATCAAATGGCCGGTCGGAATAAAACTGTGTCATGTAAACACTCCGTTCGGGTTATTTTTTGTGTATTCGGCGCAATCCGATATAATTTGTGATCAGAACGAAACGGGTGGTTTACGCTGATCCGTAATTCGATAGGTGTACATGTAAATGCTTGATCTGTTTGTTTTTATCTGATCGTGAAAAACTGACCTGACTGCGCATGTGCGACTTTGCCATTTCCGCCTGGCTAATGCTAATAATATTAGCATGTCAGGGAAGTAAAACTGGTCGGTGAGCGACAACATTTCTACTAGAAACTTTGAAAGAGCTCAAAATGATCTGTATTACCTGCAGCTCAGTCAGGGAGTGCAGTAACGTCTCCACCATCATTAAAACCTGTCACGGGTCCATTTTGTGTGCTCGGGTTTGTTTATGTTCACCCCGGAGGTAGAACTTCTTCTTCGGTGGTTTTTTTAAGGAGAGTTTACCACTCTGCGCATGTCAGTACTGCTGTTCAGAACAAAGCCCGCTGCATGTAAACGCTCATCATGAACAGATTGTGCCCATGTAAACGATACATTTGAATTATTCAAACAGAACACATTTCAATCCGGTCAAAGAATTCTGCACATGTAAACATAGCTATTGAGTAGATGCTGGGTGTGACAGAAGTTGAAAGATATAAAGTTCTCTGGTGTGTGCGTGTGTGTGCACGTGTGTGTGTGCACGTGTGTGTTTTGGTGTGCTTGTGTGTAAATGTTTGTTGGGTGGTAAAAAAGAAAACAGACTGATGAAGTGATGTGGTAACAAACAAACGTAAAAGAGAAAATAGTAAAAATAATAAAAAATATAAAAATAAAATAAGGAAAAAAAATAGCTTTAACACCGTTCACCAACACCAGTGCAGACACCTTACCGAGCTGTGCTTTACATTTTATTTACAAATGCCAGTTAATTCATCTCCAGTGTTACAAGCGTTAAACCAGGACTATTCAACTAAACCGCCCAGGGGGCCACAGTTACTGAAAGCCAAGCGCTCAGGGGTCAGATATCCACTAGTTCTTACAAACCGGATTCCAAAAAAGTTGGGACACTAAACAAATTGTGAATAAAAACTGAATGCAATGATGTGGAGATGGCAAATGTCAATATTTTATTCGTAATATAACACAGATGACAGATCAAAAGTTTAATCTGAGTAAATGTAACATTTTAAAGGAAAAATATGTTGATTCAAAATTTCACAGAGTCAACAAATCCCAAAAAAGTTGGGACAAGTAGCAATAAGTGGCTGGAAAAAGGAAATTGAGCATATAACGAACAGCTGGAAGACCAATTAACACTAATTAGGTCAATTGACAACATGATTGGGTATAAAAAGAGCTTCTCAGAGTGTCAGTGTCTCTCAGAAGCCAAGATGGTAAGAGGATCACCAATTCCACCATTGTTGCGCAGAAAGATAGTGCAGCAATACCAGAATGGTGTTACCCAGCGTAAAATAGCAAAGACTTTTAAGTTATCATCATCAACCGTGCATAACATCATCAAAAGATTCAGAGAATCTGGAACAATCGCTGTGTGTAAGGGTCAAGGCCGTAAAACTCTACTGGATGCTCGTGATCTCCGGGCCCTTAAACGTCACTGCACCTCAAACAGGAATGCCACTGTCAAGGAAATAACAGAATGGGCTCAGGAATACTTCCAGAAAGCATTGTCAGTGAACACAATCCACCGTGCCATCCGCCGTTGCCAGCTGAAACTCTACAGTGCAAAGAGGAAGCCATTTCTAAGCAAGCTCCACAAGCTCAGACGTTTGCACTGGGCCAGGGGTCATTTAAAATGGAGTGTGGCAAAATGGAAGACTGTTCTGTGGTCAGATGAGTCACGATTTGAAGTTCTTTATGGAACACTGGGACGCCATGTCATCCGGACCAGAGAGGACAAGGATAGCCCAAGTTGTTATCAACGCTCCGTTCAGAAGCCTGCATCACTGATGGTATGGGGTTGCATGAGCGCTTGTGGCATGGGCAGCTTGCATGTCTGGAAAGGCACCATTAATGCAGAGAACTCTGTTCAGGTTCTAGAACAACATATGCTCCCATCTAGACCTCATCTCTTTCAGGGAAGACCCTGCATTTTTCAACACGATAATGCCAGACCACATTCTGCAGCAATCACAACATCATGGCTATGTAGGAGAAGGATCCGGGTACTGAAATGGCCAGCCTGCAGTCCAGATCTTTCACCTATAGAGAACATTTGGCGCATCATAAAGAGGAAGGGGCGACAAAGAAGGCCCAAGACGATTGAACAGTTAGAGGCCTGTATTAGACATGAATGGGAGAGCATTCCTATTTCTAAACTTGAGAAACTGGTCTCCTCTGTCCCCAGACGTCTGTTGAGTGTTGTAAGAAGAAGGGGGATGCCACACAGTGGGAAAAATGGACTTGTCCCAACTTTTTTGGGATTTGTTGACGCCATGAAATTTGGAAACAACAGATTTTTCCCTTAAAATGATACATTCTCTCAGTTTAAACTTTTGATCTGTGATTTGTGTTCTATTCTGAATAAAATGTTAGATGTTGGCACCTCCACATCATTGCATTCAGTTTTTATTCACAATTTGCTTAGTATCCCAACTATTTTGGAATCCGGTTTGTATCATTAAGTTACTTTGTTTTACTGTTAAAACTCTAGTTTTGTTTTAAAAGAGTGAACCCATTGGTGTACCGAACTTAGTTCACCTGTGGGCCTGACTTGGCCTGCGGGCCGTCAGTTGAACAGCCTGCTTCAAACTAACCTGTTGTTCCTTTTAATAAAGCCACGGAGTGACGTCCCGTTCCCTGAACAACTGACCATTAATATAAAGCTTATCTACAGCCACCGTAGCTCTGACGCCCTCAGAAGTATTTCTTCCTGAAAGGAAACAAAACCCGCCTCCGATAGAGGATCTCTTTTGGAAATTGATTGTTCACACTGAAGTCCGTCCCACGCATCTCTCTGCCCCGACCTCTGACCTGCTCTTTTTGTTTATAGTGCTCAAATTTAGCGATAATTGGCCGAGGTCGCTTGTTATCGGGCTTCTTACCTCCGAGCCGGTGAACGCAATGGAAAGTGATATTTTTTACCGTCTCACTTGGGAGTTTCAGCTGATGTTGGATAAACTCACAGATCGTAACTTCAGCGTCCTCCTCTGCTCGTTCAGGGATCCCTGAGAAGACAAGATTGTCTCGCATGCTCCGAGCTTGAATATCCAGGATGGATTCCTTCATTTTCCTGGTTTCTCCGGTCAGCTGCGACATCTTCTCTGTGAGTTCTTTGACGTTACCCCTCAGAGTTTGGTTCTCAGCAGTGAGCGACGCCACCTGAGCTTGGCTGAACTCCAGGGACTCCCTCAGTGCTTGAAACTCCTTGTGGAGAACCTCCACCAGGGCCAGCCGGGCATCTAAGCTGGTTAGCTTCTTGTCTATAGAGCCCAGGATATCAGTGAAGCTTTTCTCTGGAGAGGTGGACGTGCTGGTTGAGTTCTCTGAACATGTGCATTTAGGAGTTGGTGTGGCCGTGGATGCGTGTTTTTTTGTGGTTTACCCATCACGATGTTGTTAAAGCACTCGTCCACGTAACTCTCCAGACTGTCCAAGGTTTCCTTGTCCAGTTTGGTTTATTGAAACAATATGCAGAGGTTATTAATAACAATATTTATTACGCTTGACTGTAATATATTGGCTTGTTTTACTTGAGTCGAATCGTTTTGTTCAGCAGTATCCTGCCATGTTACTTATGTAGCACAGCTCTCACATGATCTCAGCAGCTCATCACCAGGTGCACCCTGATTGATCAATAGTTTTAAATTTCCATTTGCGTGAACATTGAACATTGTCCACTTTGCTTCAGTCCATTTTAAATTAGCTTTGACTCATAGAAGATGGAAGCATTTCTGGATGGTGTTCATATATAGCTTTTGTTGCCCCTATACCAACTTTTTTGAGATGTGTTGTTACAATCAATTTCATTTTATTTTTTCATGTTAATAGTACCACTTTCTTAGTTTGAATCTAATGTGTTTATTATAATCTGTTGTGAATAATTAAGGGTTTATGAGATTTGCAAATACTTGTTAATTGTTTTAATTTATATTTTACATTTGGAATTTTTCAGAATTAGCGTTGTACACACGTGCATCATTTTCTTTTTCCTATTTTGATTAGATTTAAGTCGAGTACTTGCAGTGTTTGTCTCTTACAGAGAAGAAGTCACTGAACAGCTGTGAGATACTGGAGAAGGCTGCTTGGTGGCTCTCGTCCTGTGGTAGACAGCAGCACAACAGTCGCAATCGGCACTCCCACACATTAGCGGCCAATGAGCGAGCAGTGGACAGGAACTGGGAGCCCCCACCGCTCTCCAGGTCTCTCACTCCCAGTGGCTCTATTGGGCCAGGCTGAGGAGGACGGGAGTTTCCCATTGGATCGAAGACAAAAACTACGCCCAGCCCCGTGAATAGCAGTATGATCCAGCTGTTGAAAAGAAAAAAATAAATGGATAAGAGCATACTCATTTCTGATCTACTGTATGAGTGTAAAATAAAAAAGGGCATGTGAAAAATATGCAAACCTGGTCTAAAAAAGTTCAATCTGGTCCTCTGGACATTCAAAAAAAAAAAAAAAAAAAGATGTAGAAACGTTTCGTCTTTCATCCAAAAGACTTCCTCAGTCTGAGGTGCTGTATTCAGCTCAGTCTCTTAAATAGCACCTTCTCAGAGTGGATCAACCAGTTTTGCTGCTGACAACCAAAACCAGCTGATCACATGCTCAAGAAGGACCATCAGCCTAACAATGGGTCATTAGCACCTGATGGCAGTTTACTGTTCACAGAGGGCTGAGTGATACTAGCAATCACAGCATTGTAAGAGGGGGACAGTTGAACCAGGAGGCTCCACCTGTTTAATGATGGACGGTGTCTTTTCACAAAAATGGCCTCCTTTACTCCTCTCTCAAACCATCGTTCCTCTCTGTCCAGGATGTGAACATCTTCATCCCTGAAAGAGTGACCGCTGGCCTGGAGATGAGTGTAGACCGCAGAGTCCTGGCCTGATGATGTTGATCTTCTGTGCTGGGCCATCCTTTTGGCCAGTGGCTGTTTAGCTTCCTTGATGTAAGACTGATCACCCTCCTGACACTGAACAGCATACACAATATTACTCTGTTTGAGCCGGGGGACTGGATCTTTGGGATGAACCAGTCTTTGCCGTAATGTATTTTGGGGTTTAAAAGCCACAGTTATGGTTTTTAAACCCCAAAAGGATGGCCCAGCACAGAAGATCAACATCATCAGGCCAGGACTCTGCGGTCTACACTCATCTGCAGGCCAGTGGTCACTCTTTCAGGGATGAAGATGTTCACATCCTGGACAGAGAGGAACGATGGTTTGAGAGAGGAGTAAAGGAGGCCATCTTTGTGAAAAGAAATCGTCCATCATTAAACAGGGGTGGAG